TAAGAGACTCAGTTTACGCCCATCGGAAGTATTTCCGATGTTGTTTCCACCCTTAAAGCATAAGTTGTTTCGTTTTTTGGCGCGGCAATTTAACTGATCCTTTGTGCTAAGCAGTCAAGGATTCGTGCTATGATGTAAGTGAATGTTAATTCAGAAGAAGGTGCGACCACTGAACCATGGCGTTTATTAGCATGAAATTTCGGATTCTTGTTCGAATGCATCCTCAGAGACAGTCGCCGATAAGAGTGTTTGTGACTGAGGCCATCGCTTACCAGTCTTGGTACAGTTCTACAGAAGATGCAACTATGGCCATCTCCAGTTTTCCCACTAAGTCTTCACTCTGTCTATAGCTTTCAATTGCTGCTCTAGAAGGATATGTCGCTTATGAGTTGCGTACACGTTGCCTCCTATGATCACCAACAGGCGTCCAGAACGACATATGTCTTGAAAAGAAGAAGAAGATTCGATCGGTGGGACAACACTTTTATTCACCTGACGTTTCGACATCCGTCCGCTTATGTCTCTGATGAAGAATCCGTGACGGATGTCGAAACGTCAGGTGAATAAAAGTGTTGTCCCAGCGATCGAATCTTCTTCTCAATTACTTCCCATGACTCGAATGTTCGCTTTTATTAGCGATATATGTCTTGAGAATAAGACGACTCGATCGCTCGGGCAAAACTTTTATTCGCCTGAGATTTCCACATCCGTCGCGAATTCATCATCAGAGACGTTAGCAGAAAACGGTAGCGAAAAAAGGTCTCAGTTACTTCCTGGGACTCGCATGTTCGCTTGTATTGGCGATATGTCTTATCTGGCTGTGCTTTTGTGTACCCTCGAGTCTGTCCTTGTTTGCTTCTGTAGTTCTGAGGGTCAAAATATTTGAATTTGTGTCCTGTGGTATCAAGTCTACTGGCGTATCTTCTTTACGTTGTCTGTCACTGATTTTATTCTTGTCTCTCAGTGCAACTTGGCTTCAACTAGGCATGCTTCTAGTCTGTTGGGTTCAGGCCTCGCGCGTGTGATGGTGGTTAGAAAGAGAATTCATGTGACCCCAGTTGCTGCAACTGATCTCATCCCCAGTCGGTTTAATTCGGACGCACCACTGTAACAGAGGGAAGAAAAAGGCGTGGGGTGAATCCCTTGCGGATCAAACTCTCAGGTTTGAAGTCGTAGATGGCCAGATGCATTAGAAGTCTATCACGACTTGCTACAACTCGCAACGGATAATATTGTCAGTCGATGGGGCATCTTAACTGCAATAGCCTCTTCGTAGTGTAGCCTCAATGACGTTCAAGGCCACTTGAATGGTGCCTGGCCTGTGTGGAGTTAAGGTCCAGGTCGTGTGGGAAACGTGAAGACGAACTCTTCATATTCGCTGGCCATTCCGATGACACCCGGCTCTGACTATCGGAAAGTATTGGGTGTGTACATCGTTTGTTGAGTTCAGAGTAAGTCTGCTTCGCCGTAAACAACTCCACCCAAGAGTCACTATTGTGAAGAAAAAGACGACTCGATCGCTGGGACAATACTTTTATTCGTTTGACTTTTCAAGATCCGTCACGGATTCGTCATCAGAGACATAGTGAGATAGCAGTAGCTTAAAGTCAAATTGTGGGAGCCGAGCTTATCTTTATTAGTTTCTTCTTTAGGTAGAATAACAGTACTGCTAAAGACGAGGGAGACTGAAATGGCCATCTCGGGCCTGTGTGCCTTTATCAGCCAGCCATACCCAACTGCGGGTTTCGCGAGTTGAACTCTCCACCTGTTAGTTAGATCTTCAATACTCTAACTATTAAGCTACAGACTCTTTGTCCTGTCAGTTGCGATCTGTGGTAGATGGGTGCTCGCCGATCGCGTAACGG